CCCTAATAGATCAGTGAACAGAACAGAGTTGAAAGATAATCTCTGTGACATTCCACAAGACATCTGAGTGGTGACAAGTTAAACCCATTCATTTAAGTATAGCTCTTCCACAGCGTAAAACTAAGAAAGAAGAGACTACATCGTTAGTGGAATACTAAAGGTGAATGAGCAGATGCTTTATTCAAATTAAAGTAACCTAAGTCCATATTTATTTCCCTTAAAAGAGTAAAGTACATTTGTCATAACTGTTTATTGGTTACTAAACTGCTGTTGCAACTGACTACTGTATTCTTATTTAAATGTTTGTAAATCATCCACTTAAAGAGCTGAGTATAATTTCTTTTTAAACCCCCCCAAAATATTTTGACTTACTACAGTCTTCTAGGACCATTTTTGTTTTCCATAATTTCCCAAGGTTAGTATCTCCGAGAGCACACTGCCACAGAGCTCCAGAAGGCACAGCCCTGCCCACACCTTGATTTCGCCCAGGCAGACCCATTCTAGACTCCTGACCTCCACCCCACCGAGGTAATAAATATGGGTTGTTCTAAGACTGTGGTAATTTTCTGCAACAATAAGAGAAACCTGGTAGAGTCCCTCATTCAATTCATCTTGGCTCAAATCCAAGCTCCTATCTCTCTGGTAAGGTCTTACATTTCTCACCCAGCTCCCTGGTCTTCTCTTTAATGAAGCTTCTCTTAATTTGTTCATTCCTGAAGACATACATTTGTATCTTGTTCCTTCACCTATTCATGTGCCTGTATTTTTACTTCCATGTGGCTATCGGTAGGCCTGGTCTGCCAGAAGCTTAGGGACCGTCTACCAGGCCTTACTGTGGGATTCTCAGGTGTTTTACTGCCACTACACCCATAAGCATTGCCCTAATGTTTACAAATTACTCAGGATCAAATGAAAATAAAAGGGGATAAGTGTAGCAATAGTAGGTTTTGTAGGAAAGAAAGGAAACTACTATAAATACAAACTGTCCATCTGCTTTTTCTCCCCCTTCCTTCACCTTCCCCTCGCCTCCCCCTCGCCTCTCCCTCTGCCACCTCCTCTACTCCTTTTCTTCTTTACAGTACAAGGGATTAAAGCCAGGGGGCACTCTTATCCCTGAGCTCATCTCCAGCTCTCTTTTATTTTGAGACAGGGTCTCACTAAGTTTCCCCAGGCTGAACCCAAACTTGCAATCCTCCTGCCTCAGCCTCCCAAATAGCTACAATAACAGGCATGTCCTGCCATGCCCACTTGTCTACCTGCTTTAAACCAATTTAAACTTCCACACAAACTACAGCTCAAGTATTAGCTGCCACTAAATAAAAAGTTTAGATCATAAAAAGTGTCATAAAACTGGGTTATATTTTAACTCAGCCCTGATATCAAAAGAGGGAACAAGGTGAGAATGAAAATTTTAAAATCTAAAATTCAACAGTAACTCCTATTTCCACATGTGCCTACACATATTAAAGACAACACAGGTTCCCCATGAAAAAAATCATGCCAAATTAACCTAACATTCTTTTTTGACAGGACAAGTTGATTTTTCCATAAGGGAAATTCTGGGATAGAGGACAGACTAAGTTCAACAACGTTTTCCTTACTAGTCACATGAACAGATTAAAGTTTCCAAATAACCAATAGTTTAAACCTCAAACCATGCACTGTTTGTAGGAATGTAAAATGGTGCAGCCATTACAGAAAACAGTATGGAGGTTTCTCAAAAAAATAAAATAAAGGGGCTGGGGATTTAGCTCAGCGGCAAAAGCGCCTGCCTGGCAAGCGCAAGGTCGTGAGTTCGGTTCCCGGTACCGGAGAAAAATCAAAAATAAAATAAAATAAAATAAAATAAAATATTAAATCCCAAATTATGTAGCAATCTCACTTCAATACACATATACACACCCAAAATAATTCAAAGCAAGACCCCAAAGAGATATTGCACGTCGGTGTTCACTATAGCATTATTCACAATAGACAAGGGATAGAAACAACACAAATGTCCACCAAAGGAGGAACAGATTAACAAAATATGGTGTCTACACACAATGGAATACTAGTGCAGCCTTACCAAGAAAGGAAATCCATCACATGCTACAACATGAATGAACCTTGAACACATTATGCTAAGTGAAAGAAGGTAATCACAAACAGCTAAACACTGTACAATTCCACTCACATGAATTATCTCAAAGAGCAAAAATTACAGACAGTAGAAAGGTAGCTGCCAAGGGCTGAGGAGAAAGGAATTAGTGCTAATCGGTATGGAGTTCCAGTTTTGAAAAATGAAAAAGTTTTCTAGAGAACTGTTACTGAACTATACACTTTTGTAAAGATGACAAAGTTAAGTGTTATGTGCCTTTTACTAAAACATAAGAAAAAATAAAAGAAAAACTCAGCCTGAACAAGATTTATTTAAAAAAAAGAAACTCTAATCATGCTGATCCAAAGGTATTAATCATATATAAAACCTGGGAAATACATATCCTTTAAGAAAAAGCTAAAGACTAAAAGAGGCAGCATATTTAACCTGGAAAGGAACATTAACTGAAAACTAAAGAATTAACAAGAGAAGAGGTTTAAACTTACATTAAACTCTGCTTAACTGGATGTAATTAGTGCATTTTTTTAAAACAACTGTTTCTGGAATGCCAATAACATTCCAGGCACTCTTATAGGTGTTTGGGATATACCCTTGAACAAAACAAAGATCCCTGCCCTCAAGAAATTTTACATTCTGATAGGAAGAGACAAACAACAAACATAGTAGTATAGTAGGCTTCCTGTAACTGGCTCCCAATGATCACTGTACCTACACTCTTAAGTAATTCTTCCCTTGTATGTGGGCTGGACATCATGAATAGAATATAGCAAAAGTGATGGGATGTCACTCTCAAGATTAGGTTTTAAAAGACTGATTTCTGTTTTGCCCATGCACTCTTGCTCTTTCCTGCTTGCTTACTCAGATGAAGACAGCTGACATTTTATGCCTCACCTGTGGACAGGCCATGTACTGGCAAGGCACTGAGGGCAGCTTCCAGACACCAGCTGGCACTAACTGAGCCCCTCAGTCCAACACCCCACAGCATCTCAGTTGTGCCATCAAGCACATGAGCAAACTTACAATGAATCCACATCCAGGGGACACTTGAGAGGACTAAAACCCAGGGCTAAAACCCCATACCCAAGTGCAGCCCAGGAAGAAACCTTGAGAGTTTATCCACATTCCTGACAAACAAAAGCTAACAGAGTAAGCATTATTTTAAGCCACTAAGTTACTGAATGATTATTTAACATACCAACATATAACCCATATTCTAAAAAAAGATACCTAAAAAAAAGAGGAGAGTAAAAGGGCAAATAACTGTAGAAGTGAATTACAATTTTAAGAATGGGTATTACAAAGACTTGCACATAAATTTTTATAACAGTACTATTCATACAAGTCAAAAACAAACTCAAATGACCACCAGTTGGTGAACCAATAAACAAAAATGTAGTATCTATCCAATGGAATGTTATCCAGTAAAAAAAAATAAGTGCTAATATGTGGTACAACACGAATGGATCTCATATAGAGAGTGGTACCTCAGCTCATGAACTTGATTCTTTCCATGATTCTGGTCCCAATCTGAGCTGGAGGAGAACTGAATCCAATTCAATGGTTAGGTTTAATGTTGACCTTACAGGGAGATTTCATTCAGTTCTTGTCCAGTTTGGTTCATGACCAGAACTGTGGAGAGAACTGAGTTTGTAAACCGAGGTATCATTGTATCGTGCTAAGCAAAGGAATTCAGTCACAAAACACCAAATACTGAATCATTCCATTATATAAAACATTCAGAAAAGGAAGTCTGCGGGCACGGTGGCACATGCCCGTGATCCCAGCACTTGGGAGGTTAAGGCAGGACTGCTGTAAGTTCGAGGCCAACCTGGGCTACATAAGTGAATTCAAGCTCAGCCTGCACTATATGGAGAGATTTTGTCTCAAAAAAACAAAAAACAAATTAAAAAGAAAAACTATCTATAGAGACAGAGAATAGCTTCGTGGTTGCCTGGCGCTTTAGGAGGAAACAGGACTAACTGTAAATGAGCACAAAGGATCCCACCAGGGTGATGAAACCATATTAATCTAGAAAGTTGCAGCAATTCCTCATAATGACAAATTTACTAAAATCACTGAGTTGAACAATTAAAACAGGTAAATTTATGGTATGTAAATTATACCTCAAAAAAGTTATTTTAAAAAATTGGAGGAGTTAGTAGGACACCACTGAAAACATACTAGCAGAAATCTGAAGAAGGAAGGAAACCACAGTATGACTATCAAGGGGAAACATACTGGATAGCAGAGAATGTATGCAAAGACCCCAGAGGACGAAAATGCCTGGTGTGTTTGTGGCCCAGCGGGAGCGCACAGGAGATGATAGGAGAGAGGAAGTTAAGAGATGAAGCGGGTAAAATAAGTGATGGATGAAGGATGGTGGTGACAGTAACCCTGCAGAACTGTTTATATCACTGAGAGGAGTTTGGCTTACTCAAGAAAAAAGAGGGCAGAAGAGCGATATGATGACTTGCATTTTTAAAAGATCACACAATGTAAAGAAAGTGTGAGAGGCTCCGTATAACTACCTGGTTCCGAAGCTACTGATCTCTCTTAACTGACTGGGATACTGGAAAAATGAATTCCAGAAAAGAAGGAGTCTCTTAAAATGTGGCCTACCAGTTACCTGCATCAGAACCTGCTTGGGGGCTGGTAACATAGGTGGGTCGTCAGAGTACTGGGAATGAGACTGAATTGTACAGACTTCACAAGTGCTATCTCTGAGAAACAATAAACAAGATTAGCATTAAGATTCCCTTCAGATGCTATGAGAAAGCACACAGGCTATCTAAACCATGATTACCTGAAGACCAGGGCTTACAATAAATGGACATCTGAACTGGTCATTTCATTTAACTACAGATGAGGTGAATTTTTCCCCATTCTCTGACCATCTTACCCAGTTGTTCTTCTTTCCAGCATAAATTTCCATGTTCTCTCCATACTGAGGTTCTTCCAACAGCGTCTGGTACTCAAACATGAGGCGTGAGCTCTCGCGGAGGCGGCTGCACTGAAACTGGTGATACTGCTGCACAAGCTCCTTCACCACAAGCAAGAGGCACTCGGGGTTTGCAGGGTTCCAGGAGGCGAGGTTCTGCGGAGTCATAAATAAGGACCAGTGAAAAACAACGTTCTTACAAATCCTGTGTCACATTCACACTTCAACACAGAGGGAAAAAGTGATAGAAGTCCATTACGATTAGCCATGAACCCAGGGTCTTATGATCTTGGTGATTCTTCTTGCCTTCTAAAAATCCATGCAGAAAAATCTAGATGAGTTCTGTCACCAAAAGGCAGAAACAGCAAAGGATAAAGCAGGGTAGTAGCAAAACAAGACATCTAAATATTCCAGCAGACATAATTTTAGCCCTGGCAGCCTAATTTTTTTTCTTATTCTCTTGCAATTTTAATGTTTTTCAATTGACACCTAAATTCAGCATTATATTTTAGAGTAATTTAACTACAGATTCACAGACTATCTGCATCTGTAACACCAGATGTATATAAATGCTCAGTAAACATTACAGCCTCACGGAAATATAAACACAATATTAATGGTTTGACTTGAAAAAAATACAAATAGAGTAGAGACAAGGAAAAATACAATTAGGAAATACAGGATTGGCAGGGGAGGGGGCTATGGAGTCTCATGATCAAGACATCTGTGGAAATGGGATAAGACCTGATAACTGGATCCTTGTTAATCTCATATTCATTCATTCCACAAATATGCACTGATGTCTATTATGCATCAGCCACTGTTCCAGGCAGTGAAAAAGATCAAGTCTTTGCTCTCAAGAACTTATATTTTAATGAGAAAAAGTGGTGAAAACTGTCACTGAGAAAATAACAGTATATATTCTAGAAGCCTAGTAGAGAGGGTTCTTCAAGGAAAAGTGATGACCCATATCAAATGGTGCTGATGAGTAGGGGAGGCTGAGAGTTCCCTACTGAGTCAATTACACACAGATCGGTAGTGTCCTCAATAAATGCTGTTTTGGTGGAAGAAAGCTTTACTGTCAAGAGTTTAAGAGAAGAGATGGAAAGCAACTGCATATAGCTAGCACAGACAATTTGAACTAGGAACTACAGAGAAACATGAGGTCAAAGGAAAGTTGCATATGGATCTGTATAGCCTGATGGAATATTCCTCCAGAGAGTGGGGAAGGAGGTGATGCCAGAGAGGGAGGGAGCAAAATACTGGGACAGAAAGTAATAAGTAAGCAGGCAGGAATCCACTAGGCAGGTATCTCAAAGAGGGTTGGCCTTAGAAAAGAGCTCAGAGGGTCTATCTACAGGAAGCAGAAGAAAAGCCAACTAAATGACCATGGACACAGACAGACTATTCCATGTGGTAATGGGAGCCTGTAGCAGCTCTCTTCTGAAAGCTACATTTTCTCCATGACATGGGAAAGAAGGTGGTCATCTGAGAATAAGGAAGGAGGAGGGATACTAGAAGTGTGAGATGAAAGTATGAAATAGTCATTTAGAAAAGTTATTTAGGAGAGTAAATGAACTAGAGAAATGCAATAGGAATTCCAGATAGCAGTAAAAGCTCCACTGAGGTCAAAAGTATGATTTTTAAGTGAGAAATATTAGCCTACATTCTACTGCTTGTGTATAGATATGGAGTAAGCAGAATCTGGATAAAGGTTAGATTTTGCCAAACAAATCCAGCAAGAAGGGACAGAGATCTTTGAGGTTTTGTAAAATCATTACAATTATGAGTCAAGAGTATTAGGCCAGGAAAAAGCCAAGTAAGTTCATAAGGAAAGTGAGAGTTAATGAAAAGGTAGTATTGTAGACCATTGGATTGTAGGTCATGGTCAACTGGAACAATTGCTGTGAGTTGAGATGTGAAAAGAATGAATTGGACAGGCAAGATGGTGTGTTCAGAAGATGGAATGTTTGCAACTGGAAATGGTGAAGGTTTTATATAACTGGTACCAACAAGGTCTGAGGTACCTCAATGGTATGCATGCCTAAGAGAGAGAGTGAAGGACAAAAATCACCACAGGAAAGGAGACTGAGAGGCCAGGGTGTTGGAAGAACCATTTAATTTTCATGGATATTAAAAATTACCCAGAATCATGACAAAAGTTATATTGACAAGGTGACCAGGAGTCAGGTGCTAAAATCCTTAGGAGAAAGATTGAGGGGGTCTTAAAATAACAGTAACAGAGCAGTGGGTCCTATGGTCTACTGATGAAAGTTCCAAGCTGAGGGTGCAGCGTAAAAATAAGGGGTGTTTATTAGTCACTTTCCCATCCCTACCATAAAATACCCAACACCCAAAATGGAAAGGGGGAGAAGGTTATTTGGCTCATGGTTTCAAAGTTCAGTCAACAGTTGACTGGTTCCAAGGCAGAAACAACATGGTAGAGAATATGGCAGAGAAGAGCTTTAGAACCCATGGCAGCCAAAAAGCAGGTGAAGAGAGGAGAAAAGAGAAGCTAGGGACAAGAATATATCCTCCCAGGTCACACCTCCCCCATAGCCACCTCTTTCAACCAGACCCCACTTCCTGGCAGGACATTCAGCTATGAACTTATCAGAGTCATAGGGGTGGGAGAAAAATCAGCTACATTTATCTGAGAAGCAAGAACAGAGACAGAATCTCAGAGAGGATTCAAACTAGTGGTTCAGAACCTTCACAATGAAATCACCTGAAGAATTTTAGCTCTGCTACTAATGTCTAGACCGTATCCACCTCAACCCCATATTCTGACTTAAATGGTTCAAACAGGACTATTTCCTGGGTATTGGGATTTTTTTCCTAAAAGATCCCACACAATTCTAATATGCAGTAAGCATTGAGAATCACTGACAAAGAGAGGAAAAGTTCATGATATCATAGACTTCATAATAGGGCATGTAAATATCTAAAAATATCCAATTTCTACAAGTAAAGAAATCTAGAATCAATAAAAGAAAGCACCAATATATTGCAAAATATTTAACAGGTAATAATTACATAGCTTGCCAACTGCTATACAAATCCTAAGAACTTTTTACACATTCAAGTTAATCACTATGGCAGTCCTTTAAAGTTAACTTTTATCCCATTTTATAGATGAAGAAACTAAGGCAACAAGTAGTTCCAAATCTATCCTAAGGTCACAGAGCCACTAACAATAAAGTTGAGTTTTGACCATAAGCAATTTATCTCTAGGTCCCTGCTCTTAAGAACGATATCAGAGATTCTCAATCATTTTAGTTCTGGAAATTTTATGTGGTTAAAAAGTACTGAGAACCCCAAAGAGCCTCTCTCTATACATATGAGTTATTATGGATTAATATTTACTGTAATTAATACTTGCTGTATTAAAAATAAAAACTAAGAAAATTTTTCAAAATATTTAATTCATTTCAAAATAACAAACCCACTACATGTTAATATGAGTAACATTTTTTAATGAAATAACTAAATTTTCAGAAAATAGTGAGAAGTATGGCATTGTTTTGCATGCTTTCAAATCTCTTTAATGTCTGGTTTAATAAGAGTTGGATTCTCATATCTGTTTCTGCATTCAATCTGTTGCAATATGTTATTTTGGCTTAAGTATATGAAGAAAATCAGCCTTAGTCACACATGCAGCTTGAAAAAGAGAAGTGCTTTAAATAGCCTTTTCAAATGATTTGGGATATTCTTTGATACTACAACAAAACTCAACAAGTGGAACCAGGCATAGTGGTGCGCATCTTAGGTCCAGCTACTCCGGAGACCGAACCAGGCGGATCACTTGAGTCTAGGAGTTCAGGGTAAGCCTGGGCAACGTAACAAGACCATCTCTTAAAAACAAAATATGTAAGAACTCAACAAGTGGTAGCTTCTTAAAGACTAGTTGGAATGTGGAACTGGAATCTTTATGAATAAATATTTCATATTTTTACCTTAAATTCCATTTATTTATCCTGTCCCTTAAATGGATCATACTCAGTGATCTAATAGATCATACATTATGCACTGATTATTTAGAAAATATTGATTTAGTAAGTTTTCCCAATACTGATAAATTTCATTAATTTAATAATTAAAAATCATATTCATTAGTATCACAATCTCTTCATAAAATCTTTATATAATTGAAGACATCAACCTCTAGGGAGTAAACAAATGTTTTCCAAAATGCCCATTGTCACTTGAAAGCCAAAATCTTATCAGTAGCAGTAAATACTGTCAGTTGTTTTCCCTGAAGTGATAAACTTACCTTGTATGTTTCTGAAAAAATGTCTGCCAAATACTCAGATTCTAATATTCATAGATCATCATCAATCATTCTTTCAAGGAAAAAGAGGGGCCAAGAACAAAGCAACTAGTTCAGCTTGTAACTCAAACAACCACACTAACAGTCCTGAAGACGTGTCATCCTTTTGTACGCTACAGTATTCCATGCATACTTCTAATTTTGTCACACAGAATATTGAAAAGTGTATTCAAGGGTTGGGACTTCATAAAATTTATACTTTTTATAACTTCATCAATGACATCTTAAATGAACTAGCATTTTTTGCTGAGAATGTGTGGCAGCAGAGAATACTACGGCTACTTGAACAGTTTGATGATGTCTTGATGCTAAGGCACCAGCTATATCCACCATTGCTTCTGAAACATAACTACAAACATCGGCACAGTTTTTTAAAACATGAATGTGATTCTGAACATGATTCTACAAAGTAGCTTTGACAGTGCAGACCCAAAAGGGGTCTCTAGAATCCCCAGAGGGCTGCAGACCACAGTTCAGAACAATCACATTAACAGAGTATAGTGCCTTAAACACAAACTCAACGTGGCTTGTATCACAAGAATATAAACAAACAAACAAGTCTAAAAATGCATTCATTCAATACCCTTCCTATCTGTGGTTTCCACATTCATGAATTCAACTAACCAGATTGAAAACATTTAGGAAAAAAAAACTATTGCATCCGTACTGAACATATAGAGACATTTTTCTTGTCATTATTCTTGAAACAATACAGTATTAGAACTATTTATATTGTACTGTGTATCCTAAATAATATAGGGATGATTTAAAATATATGGGAGCACATGCATAGATTATATGCAAATATTACACCATTTTACAGAAA